TGCTGAAGGCGCGCAGCTGTCCTGCTGTGAGGAGTTCTCGTCTTTAATAAACTACGGCAGTTTCCGTTCACTAAACAGTAAGAATGATTAATAAATCCATATGAAACAGCCCCTTAAAAGTCACGTTTTCCTTTCAGTTTTGGGGTTTGGCGCGTTTTGCCCTCACACACAAGCATACCGTGCCAAAGCCCAAGTGATCCGCGCTCAGGCCCACCTCTTCCAACGGGCCAGGGCCGGCCAAGTGAACCGTGCTTGAGCCCGATTCAGCACACTCACACTTCTCAAACGATCCGGGAAACGGGCCTGGGCACGGTACGGATGGCATAGTGTGAGTAGGCCCTAAAAGGCAGAGCTAGACACGCAGCTGAACGCTATTGGTTTACAGAGATTCGTCATTCGTAGACACAAAAAGCCAGAATGTAAACAAAGGACCCGCCATGTTTGAAATACACAGCGAGAGATTACAGCGAAATTATAAATACATATGCAGCCATGGTCGATCCGGGCTCAAACAAACCCTGTCGTCATCTTGATAAACAGCCACAAAGCCATGGAGAAGAGCAGATTTACCCTGTGCCGCATAGTTTTTTACGAGCCAGTCTGAAGCCCGGGTGGTTTCGCTTTCTTCCTTGTGTTCGCCGCGCGTCTCTATCTGAAATAACAAACTTCTTGAGCTGATAATATATGCGCTTGATTATTGACAAGCTTTGGAAACCCGGTCCTGTGGGAAGCTGACAAACGCGGGACACATTCTGTGACACATTCAGAAAGAAAAGGACAAACGCGGGAGTGGATCGCGGAAAAAAGGCGAAGCCAAGGAGTTATTTCTTCAGCAAACCAAGTTATTTCTTCAGCAAACGTGAACAAACTGCCTTGTCTTAATCTTTATTATCATCTTTTGGACTAATATGAACTGGGAATGAAGGAATAACTCTCTAACAGAGGCTGCATGTGCTGCTGAAGATTACAGACACAGATGAGAGGTTTTCCTCATCTGAGGTGTACCAGTCAGTGGAAACGAGCCATTTGGTCCAGGGTCAAAACCAAATATTTAAGCACTGTAAATTACTAGATATACTCAATTCTTTCAAATGCCTTGTGGGCATCTAAAGAAATTAAGTCCTTTGGATTAGTATTATTTTTAGGTAAATAAATAATATTAAATAAGCACATAGGTTATAAGATAACTGTCTTTTAACAATAAAACCAGTTAGACCTGGGTGAATTATCTTTCTCATGACTGACTCCACTCTGATTGCCAGCACTTTAGCCATGATTTTATACAGCAGAGTAAGCTGATCGGATGATAAGATTCACATTTAAAGGATCCTTACCCTTTTGAAGAAGTACTGTTATAACAGCCGATGTCATGAAGGGGGGAGTAATTCCGATACAAGAGCTTTAGCAAATACCTGGCACAACAGGGGTGTTAACTTGGCACATAACTTCTTATAAAACTCAGCCGGGAAGCCATCAGGGCCTGGTGCTTTTCTCATTTTTTTTTATTGTATTTTCAATTTCAGAAGGTGTTAAAATTCCTTCTTTTGTCAACTGATCTGAATCACAGAGTGATGGTAATTCTAAATAATTAAAGCTCTCAATACGTTCAATTTCCTTTACCTTAGAGCTGTAAATAGTTTTATAGAAGTTTTTAAATTGATCACTAATACCCTGTTGTTCAGTAATAATACTGCCATCATCTATACTAACTGCTGCTATAACACCAGCTGCTGAGGATTGTTTCAGTTGGTTACACAATAACCTGCCAGCTCGTTCACCATGTTCATAATGAATCTGGCGTGATCTTATGTGGAGATCCTCAAGGAGTCATTCCGCTTGCAGAATAAGTATTTTTTTAAGAAGTCAATTGCCATTGCCGATAGCCGACAAACTTCACGATGCTGGGCCTGCATCACGATCCATCGCCCCGCCCCACATTTATATTGATATATAACTTATTATTTGCATGTCATCGTAATAGCAATAACAGTCTTTTTATGAGCTGTGTTAAATGTTACATATAGCTGCTGCTTGCAAGGCTGACAGCATCGTGAGGATTAAATGAAGGGTTATACAATACCTCTCGCGCTTAAATGTGTAGATTCAGTGCCAAACAGGGTTACCGGCGGACTTAAAGCCACTAGAAGTCTTTTATCCACTCTTGTTAAAGTGTAAATGGTGGATTAACATTCAGCACATGATTACTAATAAGATGCGCCATTAATAATAACTTAAGGTAAACCTGTCTGTTATTTTCATTCTCTCATCTTCAGTGCCTCACATTTTCCCAGCTGTAACTCCCATCATCTGAAGGCAGAAGGCAATAGCCGCTTTTCCACTATCGTGCTGAATCGTTCTTTAAACAGAACTGTTCCATTCCGTGCCAAACCGGGCCAGACAGCACGGATACGGTTTCATTTTCCACTGTCGTGCTGCGACAAAGCTCTTTAAAACATTACACAAAACGCATCAGTAGTTGCCTTGGTAACGCAATGTAAACGGCTCCCTTTGTTCAATTAAAGTTAAATAAGAGCCGAAACTATTTATTTATTTATTTTTCATAAAAGCAAAAGCATGTGACTAAACACTGTTATGCCGCTCTATCAAATAGGGGTGCTAAATGTGCACCCTTATTTATTTATATGTTGCGCAGCTCTGGCTAAATTTTATTTGGAGGGAAAATTACCAAAATGTAACGTGATGATTGAAAACAATTGGAGGGGAAATAAATAATATTTAAAATCTCTGAACATAACAGAAAAATAAACAATGATAAGACAACAATAATAGTGCATTTGCATTATAGTGGCAAAAATATAATTTTGGACAGGCCTTGTCAAAGGTAAGCGGGCACTTTCACAAATAAAAACACAGCACAAAAATTATTTCATTTTTAACAATTAAATAAATTACACTGCGTATTTATATCAAAAGTTGATAATGATATAAAATATACTACATTTTGATGGTAAAATGAAACCATTTAAGCGATGGCTGTTATTTGTTTTACTATTCAAACATTAAATAATGAATGCAGCAAGTGAAAAAAACGAATATGAAACAACAAATATATTGCAGGATTTAAAGCATATAAAGCACTAAAATGCTGCTTTATTATCTTTTTATTTTGATCATTTTATTTTTATAATTATTTTTATGTTCATTATTAACTAACAAGCTGTAGGCGAAATATTGCTAGACGTTTTAGAAAATATTTGCGTAGCTATATTAAAGATCACCACAAAAAAAAAAAAAAACACAGAAACATGTTACATGCCTCATAAATGTAATATAACTTATGTATAACTGAATCATATAATTGCCTATAGCTGAAATGATGAAAATTGCTCATTTTATTTTTATAAAACATTTGTCAAAACGTATTGATATTTTTTGAGTAAAAGCAATACTGACATTTAAGAATCCATATTTATTTAATTCATTCATTCTTTTGACTTGTCTATTAGTGCATATGCTATAATATAAATCATACAACAGTACCTTGGATAGTTACAGTGCCGCTCCGTAAAGCTTTCAAGCAAAGTCTTTTGGACGGCCGACATTACAACACGAACACGCCGTCCTTCAGGTGGTCTCGCCGGTATTAACAAGCTGTCCTGGCTTTGAATTAAAAAGCGCAATTATTTCCTCGTTGTTAAAAGAGTCTGCAAGTTCGTGTTCCATGGATATAGTGATGTTGTTGTGGAATTTGGACATCGACGATGCAAAGCGTGACTTTATTCGCTTTATTCGATTAGCAGGAAAAAAAAGTCAGCAGCGCAAGTCGCTGGCATGTCTCTCCCAGATCAGAGCGAGTTTTGTGCTGTAAAATACAGCGCTGCGTGCAATAAACTCACATTCAGCAGGCGAAGTAGGTCTGTATTCAAGTCAATAAAATAATAACTTTAATGAATAAAATATCTTCGTTAGAATGTGATGAGTTATTCACTTCTCTGCCAGAGACTGCTCTATGGTTTTAAAACCCTTTTCAAACTGTATCGTTTAGACCTGGATCATTATTTTATATTAAATGCACTGTAGTTTATTGAGGATGTCTGATGACTAGCGCGCTTCTGCTGAGCCAGCTGTGGTAGCTTAGCAACCGAGTCGCGACGTCAACACACAGAATCTGTCAGCACAGTTCAGCACGGTTGTCTAACCGTGCCGAGAATTTTGGGCCGAGAACGGTTTGTAATCGTGCCGCGCCGTTCCAGGCTCAGTGGAGAAACAACCGTAACCGTACCGAAGTGTTCTTAGAACGGTTTGGCACGATAGTGGAAAAGCAGCTATTGACTGAGTGATTGACAGCTGATATTAACCAATCATTTGCATTCAGTTGTAGAGCAGTGAGCCAATAAATAGAGCACAAAGGCGGGGCAAGCATTGCAGGCTTTTTTACTTCAAGTTCACATAACAACTGTTTTAATCTGTTCCTGAGTGTTGCGTTTGGCGCTTTTAGGTGCAAAGATGCGTTCTGCATAAATGTCTCCTAAATCTGCGCATGCGGTGAGGATTTTACAGTAAAAACAAATGTATGCACTACAGTGAACTCCAACCGTACTCTCGTCTCCTCCACCAGCTGTGGGAAAAGCCATTCACTATTTTTTTAACTAGTGACATAAGTATTTTCTTTCTCATTTGTGTTTAAAGGTCTTTAGATTTTGGCATGATGTCTAGCTTTTGAAGCTCTTTTGGTCTACTTCACTTTGTCAGACAGGTCCTATTTTGGTGATTTCTTGATTGCGAACATGTGTGGTAGTAATCAGGTCTGGGTGTGGCTAGAGAACTTGAAGCCGGTGTGATAAATTAAAGTTGTTCTAATGAGAAATTTTTTTTAAGTGCCTTTTCACTGAGAGTTTTAATGATTTACTAAAAAGTAAACTTATTTTTATTTCAGACCTAATTAAAGACAACGATGAGATTAAAGAGGAACATCATGTCAAAATTGAGGACAAAACTCATTTAGTGACTGATGGTATATTAAAAGTGAGAGACAAGAGTTGTTTAACCTGCACTCAGTGTGGAAAGAGTTTGGCAAGCAAAAGCAAACTAAAGACTCACATGAGGATCCACACTGGAGAGAAACCATTCACATGCTATCAATATGGGAAGAGTTTCAGCAAATCATCACTTTATAGACACAAGAAGATCCACACCGGTAAAAAAACATTCACTTGCACTCAGTGTGGGAAGAGTTTTAACTGCTCATCACACCTTAATCAACACATCAGGATCCACACTGGAGAGAAACCATTCAGATGCACTCAGTGTGGGAAGAGTTTTAACTGCTCATCACACCTTAATGAACACATGATGATCCACACTGGAGAGAAACCATTCACATGCCCTCAGTGTGGGAAGAGTTTTAGCAAATCATCGTCGCTTTATAGACACATGAAGATCCACACTGGAGAAAAACCATTCACTTGCACTGAGTGTAGGAAGAGTTTCAGCCAATCATCATCCCTTAATCTACACATGAGGATCCACACTGGAGAGAAACCATTCACATGCACTGAGTGTGGGAAGAGTTTCAGTAAATCATCATCGCTTTATACACACATGAAGATCCACACCGGAGAAAAACCATTCACTTGCACTGAGTGTGGGAAGAGTTTCATCCAATCATCATGCCTTAATGTACACATGAGGATCCACACTGGAGAGAAACCATTCACATGCACTCAGTGTGGGAAGAGTTTTAACAGCTCATCACACCTTAATCAACACCTTATGATTCACACTAGAGAGAAACCATTCAAATGCACTCAGTGTGGGAAGAGTTTGAGCCAATCATACCTTAAAAAACACATGAAGATTCACACTGGTGTGAGAGAGTATATGTGCTTGGAGTGTGAGAAGACTTTTATTACAGCTGCAGAATTGAAACGGCACCAGAGGATTCACACTGGAGAAAAACCGTACAAGTGTTCACAGTGCAGTAAGAGGTTTGCTCACTCAGGAACCCTGAAAACACATGAGAGGATTCACACTGGAGAGAAACTGTACAAGTGTTCACACTGCAGTAAGAGGTTTGCTCACTCAGGAACCCTGAAAGCACATCAGAGGATTCACACTGGAGATAAACTGTAGACGTGATCAGTGTGTATTAGGGTTGGTTACCGAAACCCGGTGCCATTTTAGCACCGCTACCTTGGTAACCGGTATGTATCGGTATTAAATCAGCATATGAATTTCGGTGCTTAATTTCGGTGCTGCAACATGAACGTGAGGGGTGCATGAAAAAAGGCACATATAGGCGTTGTGTCACAGCATCACTAAACATTTAATTCTAAACAACTTTGAGGAATATGGACAAGCGATATCAAGCAATTGTTATTGTTGCTAGGGAACAGACGCACGCAACACACGCAGTACAGCGCATTTAGCCTGGAACCAGTGGTTTTCGGTGAGCGAGAGCGACACTCTTCAGATCAACATGCATGATCACGTTCATCCAATTTGCTTAAACTAAGCATTCTAAAGCGTATTTTACAAGCAAGGATTCTTACACAGCAACTGTCTTCACAAAAGTGCGTGTAACGTTAAGGGGGTAACATGTCAAACTTAATCACACATGTAGAACAGATGTAACGCATTGATCAAATATAGTTTTCAGTCTCACTCATGTAAGTCATATTCAACTCGTTTAGTTTTGACTTTATTCATTTTTGATTTCCGTCTTGAACACATGATTTATTTACAACACATTTTTAAATATAATAGTTTAACTAACTCTTTTCTAATATCTAACGTTACTTTTTATGCTGACAGTGCAGAACATTTTACTAGTAATTTTGCAAGACAGTATTCAGACAAAGTCCCTTTAAGTGTTTTATAGTCTTTTATTCAGATTGAAGTGTAATTTAGACTTAAAGGGGTGGTCCACTATGATCTCATATTTTAAACTTTAGTTGATGTGTAATGTAGCTGTGCGAACATAAACAGCATCTCTGAATGTAAAATGCTCAAAGTTCAATGCAAAGGGAGACCTTGATTTTTAGAGTTAGCTTAGCAAAGCCTACAATGAACGAATTTTGGGGACTACAAAAATACTTCCAAAAAATACTGTGAGATCACAAAAGTTCGTTATTGCGCGTCCCACACTGCACAGGTAAAGGCCATTGCCAGAGGCGCTGTAACGTTACTGCATTGCAGAGGGAGAAATGCCATCCTGCTGTTTGCACAGAACTTCTCTGTTTCTGTTGTTGGGCTTCCAAATGACACGACCCAAACACAGAAGTGCTTACAGTTCAATATTAATAATGTTCCAGAGAACTATAAAATACACAGCAAGCATGATTTGACAAAACGCAGCTTACTGAATCTCTCCTAGTTCAGTGCTGGATTCGGCTAAAATCTCCTCAAAGATGGAGCAAGGAGACGCTGTGAACTCTGAGTCATGACCTGTAAGTGTTTTTATTTGTTAAAATTGATCATGACATGTACAGCGTCTAGCCTTAACGGTGTGTTGTAGCATAAATGTAAATAACGGGAAATTATATTCATCACTAACGACTTAGCTACAAATCCATACTTATCAGTCAAACGGCTGTAAACACACACACATACACAAACATACATACACGCACTCTTGGCCAGCATGCGCGTCTCTGTGTAAGATGGCAGTGTGTCTCTTATGTGTGTGCACGACTGCACTGATTGTCTTCAGGCAGCTTTTCCATGCGTTCAACTCAAGACAATAAAGTCGCAAAAGATATGTGAACGAATCATGTTACTTACACAGGCATATTCCGGATATGCGTGAAAGACGTCCTGTTACGCATTGATTAAAAAAAATAAAAAATACAGCAATGCTCTCCCAACTGGAGTGTAACAGCAAAAACAAATCAATCCAGGCTCACACGGGTCTCATCTCACATCTTGTGATTTAATCTGTCACCACAGAAAATAACTTAATCCGAGCATGAGAGAAAAAGAACAATAAATATCCCGCGCACATGCACTTCTCATGTTACAGACACTTCATAGTATATACACGCACACACATAAACACAATAAATGGCACAGAAACACTTTTAAAGGAGCCGCATCCCATTTTCACTCGTTACAGACACGTGTTAACTGACTGACTGTTTACACACAATGCGCGTGCTTCTCCAGGCGTGACGTGGAGCCGATCGGCGAATCACAGCACATTATGATGATGACCAATCAGAGTCACTTGAGGGTGGGCCTTTTAGAGGAACTAGGCAATATGACAGTCGTTTTCCTGTTAGCTGAGTAGCTGTGTATAATCAAAGTGAGATATATGAAAAAATAACATGATTTCCTTCAAGTGAAACATGAGCGCACATTGCTTTGCATCTTATTAACACAACCAAGCCTTAAAATTACATTCTGGACCACCCATTTAATCAGTTCACTACGAAAGTTAAAATAATTAGTCAAATTATTTTGTAACTGATTTGTTGTGTAAATCAAAAATGTACAGTAAATATTTCTTAAGGAGGCTAATAATACTGACCTTATTTATATTTATTTTTTATTAAAAACGGCCTTTATTATTAAATAAACGATAAGAAATAGGACTTATTATGACTCCAGAATAATTATGTTTTAGGAAACACTGTAAAAGTTTTCAGGAACATTATTTTGAATGAATGAGAGAGCATAATAAATTGACTTCAACTGTAGGCCTGTTAAAGTTTACAGGTGCAACAATGTGCCTTGATCTAAGTGAATGTTTGAAATGTGTTCTCCTACACCAACGTTACTTGTCAAATAAATGAACAAGGAAGATTATTTTGAGTTTAAGTTATTTAATTATCTTGTTTATGAAGACTGCAGAGTGATGCATGAAAACAAATGACTTCCAATAATGTTTTAAGTATTTTGTGATATATATGTTAAAATGTGCTCCTGAAAGTACGTGGCCCCTGCCCGCCCCCCACAGGTTAATAGTAAGCTAATGTAATTTCATAATGCAAATCTTAAATTCATGCTAACCAACAAATGATCAAAGGAAATGTATTAATGTAATACAATATTAACTGATGTTTACTTTAAACTGTAATTATATTGTTCTATTAAAATGATAAAAAAAAAAATCATTTGTCAAATAAAATATTTTTGAAGAGTCGTCCACCATCATTTCGTGGCTAAAAAGTGTCAACTCAGGCACCGTTTTGGGACTGGTATCGTTTTAAAAGTATCAATTTAGCACTGGTATCGAAAAACCAAACGATACCCAACCCTAGAGTTTCACTCATTCGGGGCAGCTTAAGAAACACATGGGATGGTTTCCGGTATGGTGTCGACACATGTAGCAGCATAGAAAGAGTGCTCCCATACACACTGGTATTAATCCTCCTTTTTACATCATATATGATAACCTAAACCATATTTTAATAACATGGAGTGCAATAGGCACAGCAAGGAAGGGTTTTTTTAGAGAAGGAAGGCTTTCCTCTCACATTAAGAAGTTATTTAAGACTTCAAGGTTTGGAGATCTTTTTCGTTATGTTTTTTTATGTGGTTTAAGATATTCATGCTTGTGTTTTTCATGTTCCGATCACAGTGATCTTCGCAAAAACATCTGATTATGCAAAAACAAATATAGAGTAATTACTTTGAATATTAATGGGTTACTAAAGGAAGCAAACTTGTGGCTAAAATTAAAAGAGAAAACCAACAGATAATCTTCTGGCAAGAGACACATCTTTCTGATACAGAACATAGGAAATTAGAAACGATGGGATTTAGGGTTTTCTTTTCCTCATATAATAATGGTCGTAATCGAGGAGTAATGACATTGATCTCAAATAAAATCAACTTCCAATTAATTTCTAAAATTACTGATAAAGAAGGGCGATATAATCTAATTAAAGAAACTATTGACCAATACAAAGTTACATTAGTTAGTATATATAGACCACCTGAAAAAGACAAAGCATTTCTCAAAAAAATATTAAGTGTTATAGCCAAGGAGACATCAGGTACGTTGGTCTGTGGGGGAGACTGAAATGTACAACTTCAGCCTAAATTGGACTCATCTTCTAATAAGCAAATTAGTCAAGAAACTAGACAAATAAGATATCTGATGAAATAATTAGGCTTGATAGATGTATGGAGAGACATATACCCTCTTAAAAAAGAATAAACTTTTTTTTTTTTTCCACCCACATTTCTCATTCTAGAATTGATTTTTTTATGTTAAGGTCAGATCAACAAAAATAAAAGAATGTAAAATAGGAACAAGGGACATCTCAGAGTATGCAGGAGTATATTTAACAGTTTACCTGGACAATAAACCCAGTAAGACATTTTGGCGATTTAACCCTAATCATTTGAATGATTTAACATGTAGAATATCATATGGGACACAGCTAAAGCTGTTATGCGAGGTAAACTTATAATGTGGGGATCAAGGAAAAAAAACTGAATTACATAAATAATGTGAATAAAGAATTAGAGACTAAATATGGTAATAAGAAAGATCCAGATATTTTAATAATAGAGTTAGGGTTAAAGAAGTTAAAGCAGAACTCAATAAAATGTTTGATGAGCAAGTACAAATAAAACTTACATTTTAAAATTTTATGAAAATGGTCCAAAAAGCTCCTGGCATGAAGAATAAAGAAACAACATGCAGAAAGGAGAATATTTAAAATCAAAGATTACAAAACTAAAACGATATGTCATAAATTGGAGGAAATGCAACAGGCTTTTCAAAAATACTATAAGGAATTATATACCTCAAAAGACAATATTGAACCTGCAAACATGCAAGCATTTTTACACACATTAGATTTACCATCAATTCGATCGATACAAAATAAAACCCAAACTCAAAAAAACTATAGAAGAAATAAACAATGCTATATCAAAACTTAAAACATCTTAAGTACCAGGCGTAGATGGCTTCTCTGCAGAATGGTATAAAATATTCAAAGAACAATTGATATCAATGCTTTTTGAAGGCTGTAATCATACCTTACATGAGGGCGACCCCCCCCCCCCCACCCTACCCCCCCCAGATCCTGGAGAGAAGCTATCATATCTGTGATTCCAAAAGAAGGAAAAGATCCACTTTAAGAGTTTATTTCATATAGACCTATTTTAGTCCTAAATATTGACTATAGAATATGCATCTGTACTAGCTAAACGATTAAAGGACATTTATCCAGACCTAATAGATACTGATCAAATAGGTTTTATAAAACAAGGACAAACATATGATAATATATGACGAGCCCTTCACGTAATAGATTATATAGCTCAAAACAATATTAGCACTCTTCTAAGTAGCCTAGACGCAGAAGAAGCATTCGATTCGATGAGTTGGGATTTTTATATTTAGTTCTGCAATGATTTGGATTTGAGAGTAACACTATAAAAACTTTATAAACTTTATATATAACTCCTACAGCTAGAATTAAAATGAACGGAGATATTTCGGAACATATTATATTAGAAAGAGGATGTCGACAAGGGTGCTCTTTAAGTCCTTCCTTATTTGCGTTATTTATTGATCCATTGGCACAACTAATGAGATAATACAGAAGGGGAGTGAAAATTAAATATATAGAACATCAAATTTGCTTATGCGCTGACGATGTGTTACTGTTTCTTACATACCCAGAATTCCGTTTACCAAAGGTGATGTATTGAGATTAGGTGATCTCTTGATAAATTTGTATTATATTCAGGATATAGATTAAATATACTTAACACACAAACTCTTTTATGCAACTATAACTCAGATGATAAATATGCAAGGAATATACATTTGAATGGAACACACCTTCTATCAGATATGTTGGAGTTCATATCCCTGCAGACCTATCAGATATCTATAAAATAAAAACTTCCCCAATACAGAAACCATAAAAAAGTTTTTGAACAGACGCCGTCTTCAACCTTTAGATCTATACAATCGAATAGATAATAAGGATGAATATATTACCAAGCCTACTTTTTCTCTTTCAAGCTTTACCAGTGGAGAAACCAAATGGGCAATTTAATAAATGGAAAAAAAAACTAAATCTCGCTTCATTTGGAACAGAAAAAAATCAAGAGTCCAATTTAACACTCTATAGCTTACTAAATATTATAAGGCAGTACAGCTTAGACACAGACTTTGTTGGTGAAATGACAAATACTGTGCAAGGTGGAAAGAATTTGAAAAATTACAAACCCACTTACCTCTCCAAGTGTTATTAGGAGATGGAGATGGAGACTTCCAACATACAGAATTGCATAAATTGAATTGCCTGACAAAGACCCCTTTGGAAATTTTGTACAAAGAATTTAAGAATCCTAAAAGTGTAAAACAAGCTAAGATATTAAGATGGGTTGAACATGATACTCAATTTAAACCAGCAAAACTAGATCTAAGATTTAAACAATGGAGTTTGCAAGACATAACATCATTCTGTCTCATATCACTACTGATAATAAATTGGAAGGTTTTCAACAACTTTCAAATATATATATATATATATATATATATATATATATATATATATATATATATATATATATATATATATATATATAACAACAACTTTTAAATATATAAAACAAAAAATTTTCCATAACCTTCAAGTTAGAGACTACTTCAATAAAAGCATAAGAGATTCAGAAGACATAAAAACAACAGTAATGCAGGTATTTTTAGATGCTTACAAAAAGAAGGTTAATAAAAAAACTAGTATCAAGAATTTATTCCTGTCTGACATTAACAAAGAAACACTCAACAATGTATATCAAACAGAAATGGGAAGGAGAAGCCAATATAATAATAGCCAATGAGGAATGGTTAACTATTTGGGAAACACAGATGATCACAATTAATTCATGGAAGGAAATTTATTTGGAAAAATGTAATCAGGTTCTTTATGACATCTAAAATAAAATACTTTCAAACTAGAGATCAAAACGATGGTGAATGATATATTTTGAATAAAAATATTTTGGGACTGTAATATTATACACAAGATTTAAATAGAGATAAATACAATAATGGGATTAATGTAATTTTAATTCTATGTACCTGGGAATTTACTCTGCAGAAATACCAAAAAATGATGTGTATCTTCTTAACACACTACTAACAACTAGCAAAAAGGCTATTACAAAGAAATAGCTCAAGGAAGATCCTCCATCTGTAGGTGAATGGTATGATATTGTTAAAGAGGTGTATGACATAGAAGTACTAACATTTACCTTGAGACAACAAGCCTATAAAAGTTCTGCATACTGGGTTAAATGGTTGAGAAGAAAAGTCTTGTTTTAATTTCATTGTGGTGGTTTTATTGTTTACATGTTTGGAGCCTGTTGATCTTTGACACATAACCCTTTTTTTATTGCTCTGTTTGTTTTGTTCTAAACTGTTTTGAAAAAGGAAAAAATAAAAGTTGGCTCATGTATCATCATCATCCTGACGCAAGCTCACAGCGTTCAGCATGTAGTTTTGCTGCTGTTAGATCAAAAATAACAGCTGCCATTCATGTTCAAACACTCTAAAAATAATTCTATAAGCCTGGCTGTTTTTTATAAATAATGTCTTACTTTTTACAATAAATTCTGTCCAAAATAGATTGACTTTTTTCTCTTTGCTAAAATAATTAGTCTAGCTGCCTTATTCTCTTCAAAGAGCAGCTCTCATACAGAGACCATTATTTCAGTATTTTTTCCAGGATATTGTGGATATTTGTGGATTCCTTCTTTTTTGTCTCAGCTGATCACATGGAAAAAGGAAAATGACTTTTCCCGGTCATTTTCCTTTTTTTTTTCTTTTTTTTTTTAACTATCATGTCATTTTCAGGTGAAGCGGGAAAAGTGTTGCACTTATCTGAAAAAGCTTCAAATGTTTTAAATAATGAAGTGTATTTTTTTTCTTTTAAAGTATTACACATTTTTAAATGAAATTGTTTGAATGATTTGTTAAATATATGCCAAACACTGTGTCTTAGTTATTTTATAACTTTTATTTAGTTTAAAAAGCATAATATGCACTAAAACAGAACTTTGTGACACTGGGTACTTTCTGCAACTTTTTAATAAGAATGTGAAATAACAGCACAGTAGAAGACTGTATATATAATAGTAATATCAAGTGATAACAACACTAAAGAAAATAAACAACTTCCAGTACATACAAGTGCAACCAAATGAACAAAATCTGAACATTAATCAAACAACATAGAGACAACATAGGTAATGAAGAATTAACATGCCAGGTTAATTCTCAGCAGTGAGGTCCATGTCTGCTGACGTTAAAAGCCTTGAATATCTGAAACAAAAAGAAGACGACAACCAGAAAGTGCACAATAATTTGGTTGAAACTTAAAGATGGGTGTAAGGGAGGGTTAAGCGCAGTTTGAGCGTACTTACCAGACTGTAATTCCACATGTGTCATACAGAATCCAGAGAGAGAGGAGAGAATATGGAGTAGCCTACTCACACTCTCACTACTGCATAAAGAAGACTTATGAGAAAAAAAGAGCAAAAGACAAGTCAGTAAAAGAAAATACAATTCTCTGAAAGTAAAGGTGAATGGTTTGTAAGGCCCACTCATTCAGCCTATTACAACCAAGTCTCTATTTGGAGAGCAATGTTGTTGCTTGGCAGTGCAGAAAGAGTACTCCAGGGTGAGAAGAGCAGTGATGGTTGTCCAGAGAGAGAGGAGAAAATATGGCCACAGGTGGAAACTTGGAGTTGGACATGTTAGAAGTGAGTCAGTATGGGGGGTGGAAAGATGTTGTTTTACATCCAGTCCAATTCCAGCCCTTTCCCGGCAAAAGATCTCCTCTTTGAGCCATAATCATAGAATAACTCCTCATCACTCGAAATGTCTTTTGTAGCAATGAAGAGAATGATGTCTCTATCATTAAGGACATACAGCCTGGGCCGGATATTGGCTCTTTTGCTGGAGTGACGGATCAGGCGTCCATAATTGAACTTCATGGGATGGCACTGGCAACTTTCTTCATGTGCGTCAATGCACATGGCTTCATGTTGTTTGTTCTCATAAAAAAACAAATGGCCAGCTCTGATGCCGCTTGTTGAAGCAATTGCCATCCCATCTTCATGGCTAACCAGCTCGCCGTGGTATTCACAGACAACCTCCCCGATCTAAAAGGGTCTTTTGGTGAAAACACCATCGCCCTTGTCAGGGACGGGCCTGACAGTCAGTCCTTTCCAGCGTTGAGACAAAATAATTTTTTTCACAAAGCTGCTGTCGATGACCAAGTGCAACCTGGCAACAGGTTTCCACTGCTTCAGAACCACTGCAGCCTGTGGGACGTTTGACGTCCACCCTTGTTTGTCCATCCAGCGGCTTATTTTGGACTCTGATGGCTGCTGTCCAGTAAAGTGTTCTAGAAACACAAAACACATCAGTATTCGGCTATTCTCACTCAATTCCCCTGTTTGTGTCATTAATCATCTGTATACTCACCGAGAGCATGCTGTTCACGCAGCTTGAGCTGCTCACTACGCCAGCGGTCATAGCAGTGCCTCTCATGTTCTGAGCCACACAGCTCAGTCCTGCGTGACCTTTTTGGAGGAGGCCCCTCCAGAGTCACTGGACAGAACTGCTCAAGAGTTTTGTAGGCCGTCTGTTCGTCCACCCTTGTCTCACAGCAGGAAGCTCTACTGGACCTTTGTCTATAAGATCATAAAAAATAAATATTGAAGGAAGGAAAGGCAAGGCTGTGGGTTGCAAATTTAAAAATAAGGATCATCCCAGTTGTTAGATGCTTACGGTGTTTTCCCAGCAAGCTGATCTAGCACACTTAGAGCCAGAAACGGATCTGAAGACGTTCTCCTCATGTAGTTCCTTTCAGCTGCCACATTTCTCTCCACTTCTGACAGGTTTTGTGCTGCTGCCTCAAATGCTCTCTGGGCATCGCCACACGTCACACTGGGAAGACTGTATCTGAAACACAAGGCATCGTAAGAAGGCAAAAAGTGGACGGATGAACATGTAGAGTTAAACACAGGTGTAATGTTGCTTACTTGTCATGTAGTCTTTTTAAGTCGTTGGAGGGATTATAAATCGATCTCCCACTACTTGACACAAAAAATGAATCAACTGCCACATCATCCCCGGTGCGGTTTTCTTGCAGCATTACTGGCCGCACCTCATTGAAGTACAAGTTGAACCACTAGTTAGAGAAAGGAAAAAAATAAGTCTAAATTTGACACAATACATTTATTACTGTTATTATATAAAAGACTATATAAACTTACAAGTTCCTGTTCGTGTGACAACGGTACTTTGTGCTCCTTCACTGCAACACAGACACCATTCTCTATACGGCTCCTCCCCTCCCAATCCTCAACCTGCAAACAGACAGTTTTGCACATTGATGAAGCATATAAGAACAAAGAAGACAATGTACGGAAAAACAAACACTTACAGTCATGTGTGTCACAATTCCAGGCCGCTGGACTAGCTTCAGCATGATAACAGCCTCCAGGTAGTACAGGACGAGCAGCCGTTCATTTTTAGTCAAACAGTCCCCTGTGATGGCTCCTGGACCCTGCATTTTGCATATCACGGCCTGGAAATCTTTGAATGCAGCCTCCAAAACAGCAAGGCAGTCCTTTGGCAAAACTTCTTTGCCACAACCAAACTCTGATTTTTTTGCTGTGACCTCCATGCTCACTTCTTTGGACATGCCACTCTGTATTCCATACAGCACATCCATAAAACTCTCACAGTCCTGGAACAAAGCTGGATTGTTGTGGGGAATGTCCGTGGAGGTAATAATGTATTTCATGAACCTTGAAAAGAGATCAACATTGGGTTTGTTACAGTCAGAACACAGCACAGCTGACATGATTAGTTAGCATGTACATGGCAAACTTGTGGTGGTTCCACATTACTGACCTCTTGAGACTCTTCGAGTACCCAGCCGGCATTTCAACGGTGATTCAACGTTGAATCAACGTCAGGTCTATGGTTGGATCAACGTTGAATTACCTTTCGATTTTGCAAATTGGATCAACGTTTATATAGTGACGTTGTTTCACCGTCGGACCACCACCGGTGATTCACCGTTGAAATCACAACGTTGTTTCACTCTTACCTTCTTCATGGGTGAATTATGGTCGTTTTGTAGACGTTGAATGAAGGTTGAATTACCTTTCGATTTTGCAAATTGGATCAACGTTGATACCGTGACGTTGTTTCACCGTCATACATTTCAACGTAAGTTAAATAGAAATTACATACAACGCAAAGTCCATAAATATAGCAAACAATTTTTTACTAATAAAAAATACACGACACAAATACACAACTTAGTCTGTGTATCAATTTATTTAATACACACCTCATTATTTCATTTATTCTAAATATACAGCAACATTTACAGCATACATAGTTCATTAAAACCATGCAGGTTACTATACATGCTGTACACTCAAATACAGAAAAAAGGCATACAATTAAATAGTCACTTTTTAATTAGGTTTCATGAATTAAAGTTAATGTTTACTAACATGAACAAAGAACAAATACTTGTACAGCATTTATTAATCATTTAATTAATTGAAATATGTCCCGATGCTATTAAAATCAAAATGTATGCTTGTTAACATTAATGCACTGAGCTGACATGAACTGTACTTTCTTTATATGAAAGATGCTTCATTGTTCTTTGTTCATGTTAGTAAATACATAAACACTTACTAATACAACCTTATTGTAAAGTGTTACCGTCTTCAGAAAGACAGATACTAACTAAATTAAAATTAACTAAACTAACTAAATTAGTAACTAAACTACGCTTCAACCATCACAGTCTCCAAAATACAATTCTGTTTACAAAGTTTACAAAATACCCATTTTTAAAGTGGCTGCAGTAAAAAAATAAAATAAAAAACATCACTCACAACTAAGAATCACAAGTGAAATACATTACATCTGTTTGAGGTTTTATAGGTTGAGAGAAAAACTTGAGGTAAAAGATGGCACTGGGGACAAAGAATCAAGTGTAAAACACTAAAACATCTATATCAGTCTAGCAGTTAAATACATATTTATTTCTCAAACACCAGGTGAGTTTCCTACAAAATCAATAGAGGTTTGCTATTCCAATTCATTGTAAATGAATGGCTTCACTTTCACAATAGTGAAAACTCATGCTATAATCTAAACCTGACATTACTCCTTCACTTTGCAGGTCTGCATGCTAAATATTTAGTAGTTGTTTTTTTTTGTATAAAGTACATCTATTGTGTTTAGCATTACTGCAGCAAAACTGAGCACCTGTGACAGTGGAACATAGACAAATATTTCAGTAAATCATCAAGAAAATGTGTAGAATATATGGTTTGATTCTCTCTCACAAACTCAACAGTAAAAGCAATTTGTTATTCCATTATTATTAGTATCATAAAAATTGTATGTTCACATGGGTCTTATAATAATGGCTCACATTTGTGAATGTAGGACCACTATTTCACTATTACATGTCACATTAAGTGGTTATATAGGTTCTGTTATTAATTACTTGTGTCATACCAGAGACTTGTTAATCTTCAGAACACAAACTAAAATATTTTAGATTAAATGCTCCTCATCCTCTACAGACAGCAATGGTCCCAAGATGGTCATTGTCAAGATAAGGCACAAAACACATTGTCAAAACGTTCCATGTGACTTCAGTGATTTCAACTGTGAACATACCAAGCTCCAACAACACTTTAGTGAGGCAAAACAAAACAGTAAATACAAATGTGTTTGCATATATCTCTCCCGCATCAGATCAGCGTGTGTGTTTACTACGAGCAGTATGCACACACCATGACCTGTTGTGGCAAAGGTAAACAAGTTATTTTTACAGTACTTACTGTGATTTAACCTTTATGACAAATGTACTGGACCTGTTACTATACCTGATATATCACTATCTTTTATGAACACAAATTTCACTGTAACGGGTGCTGTTGTTTTGCTCCAGTTACACCTTTAGAGAACACCGTACTAGTCAGACATCCATACAAAAGCAGAGAGTTTGGTCTTGTGTAGCAGAACTGCAATAGATGTCTGTCTGTCTAGGCTGACACTGGTTTAGGCCATCAGTATGTCCTTGATGCCCTCAAATGGAGCTTCCAGAAAACCTGCAATAAATGAAATACGAGGTTACAACTAAGTTGGTATCAGCTATTATACAAAGTGAAATTCAAATATTTATTTTTATTGAATCCAAATTTGTCCTATAATATCGCCACACTCAATAATTTTGACTCATCCATCTGAATATTCCTAACTAAGAGAAGTGAAGAATTAGGTGTGATGTTGTCAGGAAGCCCTTCGCCACCACCGGTGCCAGCATTTCCAGAATTCAAATTTCAGATTCTCGAAAAAATTGCTTTTTTTTTTTTTTTTTAACCAAGGCTGCAGTAAAGAATCATGAAACATTCAACACATCTAATAATTACAAGTTGTTGTAAACCATTACATGTACTGTAAAAGCTGTTTAAAGCTTTTTAGACATGGTTGAGAAAAACTCTAGAAGGAGTAGCACTTCTGTAAAAGTCTGCATGTAGGACAGAGAATAAAAGGGATAGTTAAAAATTTGTATTCTGTCGTCATTTACTGACCACATTGAACACAAAAGAAGATATTTTGAAGAAAGCTGCAAATCTATTTAACCATTGACTTCTATAGTATTTTTTTCTACTATGGAGGTCAATGTTTACAGGTTTTTAGTTTTTTTTCAGAATAGCCTCTTTTGTGTTCAACAAAATAAACTCATAATGGTTTTAAACCATTTGGGGAGTAAAATGTGAGTAAATTTTCATTCTTGGGTGAACTATCCCTTTCAGTTGGAAAACACCAGAATTCTTAAGTAGACCCTTTTCGCAAGACAGATGATTTTCACGCATTTCATTTGTCATCTTAATCCTCAAGTTTTTAATATTTAGATTTATTTAAATAGCATGTTTATTTATTTGTTTTAATGACATTGAATAAAACAACTTCTCAATGACATCACATGTACTGGACCTGCTACACATGTATCACTATTTTTTGAATACAAATTTCACTGTAACGGGTGCTGTTGTTTTGCTCCAGTAATACCTTTAGAGAACACAGTAGCAGTCAAGACATCCATACAAAAGCCTTGGTGTGGAGTAGCAGAACTGCAGTCTGTCCAGGCTGACACAGGTTTAGGCCATCTGTGTGTTCTTGATGCCCCTCAACTGGACCTTCCAGAAAACTCAGAAAGTTAAAACCCATTACACCTTTTATCTGCTACTATACAAAGTGTAATTTAAGCATTAATTTCTCACTAAATACATATTTGTTCCCCAATACTGTCACATAGTATAACATCACAACATGATTTCACAATAATAATATCAATATAACAATATAATATCACAACATAGCCTAACAATCAATAAACAAACAGATTAGAAAGAGAATATCACCAACCAAAGCACCAAGAAGATTTAACAGATAGTTAAAGGTAAAGTAAACTTACATGGACAAAGCCTTTTCCATTCAATGCTGTGCAAGTTAGTGCGTCTCTGGAGTAAGTTACATGTCTAAAAGCAAAAACAACAACAACAGTGAAACGACAGCAGTTAACTTTGTAATAATAACACTAATAATACAGCGTATAAAATGGATATTGTTTTATAACGTTGCTCAGTAACTTTAAACTGCGTTTGGAGTTTATCGCTTTGAATTTGCCATAAAAACGCTCATTTAGACTAACGTTAAACATGTGACATTACCTCGAGGTTAGCTGCGCGTCACCGGAGCGCAAACAAGAGTAAAAACAAACTGGAAAGTTTTAAATGCTTCAAAATTCGAAACACTACACCTCAAAAGTCACGTTTAAGATACACTGACAAAATCGGGGGGTAAATAAAACGTTAAAGCATCTAATAACACGCTTACCTCTGAATTCTGCTGCACTGCAGGTCAGGTGTTCGTAATTAAGTGAAGTGAAGCGCTGCGCGTGGCCGCGTGCGCGGAGTCCTCCAATACCATGGTAACCAAACATGTTGAATGTTGGGTAAAGCCATGACGTTAATTCAACATACAGATCATGATAAAAAAATGTCAACGTTGATTTGTACAAGGATTTCTGTAACTTTTTTCAACCATTTATCATTCAACATTGTTTCAACATTAAAGCAACAACTGACATATTTTCAACCACATTTCAACGTTGAAGCCTTGTCATATGCAGGCTGTTTTTCAACCATTCAACATTAAACGTTCTATCAACATTATTTCAACGTTCAAAACACAACTGACCTTATTTCAACCATATTTCAACGTTGAAGGTCGGTCGTGTGCCGGCTGGGTAGTTGAACACTGTCCATTTTGAGAGCTTTGTATCTGACAAGATGTTAAAGTACTCTCGCACTTTCTCCACCCGCCGAACAAACATCAAGTTTGGCTCAGTGGGGTCCATGTAATGCAAGAACCTGGACACTGTTTCCACCTGAAAGCACACATTTCACATTAAAATAAACTGTACTGCATAAAACAACACCCATTCACTCATTTTTACATATATAATTTCACTTGAACTTACTACTTGTTTGCTGTTTTTATATCCTAGGTCAGTGTAAAGGTACTTATTAAATCCTGCTAGAAGGGGGTGGTCAATGGAGTGCTTTTTGTACAAGCCTTTTTTGACCTTCTCCACCCTCACTGAAGAGGTCCACATCGGTCCACCAGTGCTGAAATAGAAAAGCAGGTGATGAAAATGACTTTGTATATTAAAGAGAAGTCATATCCACAGTGTATATTTACTTTCTGGGAATGCTGATATAAAAGTATACCTCTGATAGTACTCTCCAGAGCTCTCGTCAGATAAGGACTCATTTGGAGGCTCCAATGGACTTTCTGCACCTTCTCCAGAGCTT